TGTTCCATTTGCCTATTTCCTTAAGGAGCGAACTACGGCTACGGCAACAGATGGTAATAGACAGTTTCTCTATCTTTGTGATACCCTTCAACTATATAGGCTGGTTGTTTCCTGGTTCCTGTTTCAATGAAAATTGTGCTCATTGATTAGACGAGACTTTTGAGCTTAGCAGAGAAAGAGCTGAAACTTCTTTTCACTCTACGTCTTCTTCCTGCATGCAGCGATGCCTGTAGTTCTTTTTTACTTAAAACCTGGAGGGGTTCATGATTAAAAGACGTGCCGGTCTGACGGACCATCATGAAGCTGCCTGCTTCGCTTTATCACTAGTCAAAAGTTGAAAAGCTTTATGTCACCCAGCACGAACGACCCATTCCTTGACAGATTATGTAGGCATCGATCAAGCCCTCCAGGGGCTGAGCTGTCACAGGGATGACCACATAAAGCGGAACCTCACCACAAAACTGCCCTACCACTGAGGAGCCAAGATTTCTTAAAGTCTTCCGCAGGTGCGGAGGAGGGGAAGGGATATCCACAAGTCATCCCTTCTTATCATCATGTGTAATTGCATTTTGCGTATTTCATCGTCATTGTTACTTACCATCTTGATGAATGCCGGGCGGACTGCAATGGTGCAGACACGATTGGTGAGTTGGAAGTAGGACAGACTTGGCCCTCACCACAGCATGTAGCAGAGCCAGAATAGACTTCTGACACCACGTGAACAGCCTTTGAAGATTTCGACCATATTTTCCACTCCCGCCATCCCCCTAAAGGGCACTCTGAAGATGTAAGAGGTGAGAAGTAACATTATCCCAACCGCAAGGTGATTGGTTACACAAAAGGGAGGTGGTAGGTGACGCATTGATATTATTGGTGGAGACTAAAGAGGAGGATGAGGCGAGACAAATATTGCGAGCTGGTGCCTTCATGAACGACTGATAAAGAGATGGACCGGAGTGAGAGAGAATTACCCCAGATTGAGTCTTGTCTCCTATCGATACAGTGAAGATTGTGTTGCGCTTAGACCTTGCTACATTCTCTCATCACCGTACACACGTTTGTCTCATCTCAAATTTCGCTGGCAGTTGGCTACTACTTAGGTGTGTATGTGTGTGTAGATGAACCACAAAAAGGGGTAGAAAAAAAGAGAGAGAACACAAAAATCATGACATCTTGCAACTCCAATCACGTCCTCCACCCGATCATTTCGGATCTGTAGGATTGAATATTTGGGAGGTTTACACTACACAATTGTTGCCAGCGCTCTCCGCGGTCACACAAGTCTGAAAGGAACATAATTCCGCCTGTATACATCATCTCGGCGAGATTTTGAATGATACGTAGTCTGGGAGACAAACTGGCTGTGAGGGGAAGGGGACAGATTAAAAGCTAAGGGGTTGAGGTATTTTATTTGGGAAGTGGGGTCAAGAGCTTAGACGTTGTTTCACACTTTGTCCGGTTTCTAACCTCGGGATTGGCAAAAGGCGTCAAAAGTCAATCCGATCTGATGGATCCTCCGCATCAGACACCTTCCGCATGGCACAAAATCCGGAGAATGGATGTCCACCAAAACGGTGGCCGGAGGTTGGAGATGATGGTCAATAAACTACATGTTCCCAGGCTCCAACTTCCACAGAAAAACATTTCCTACAGTCCAAATTATCCCTTTTGGGGCTGCGGGGGGAGATGAAGGCGAGGAAAAAGGGTCGACCAAATTCATGTTCTACACGCGGACATTTTGGAACATGTGTTCGCTACACACACATAAATATAGGCAAGTTTACTTTTTATGTCCACAAAAAAAGCAGGAAAAATAGAATGACATGGGTAACTAAACCGTTACTGAAGAACATGAAGTTTGTTGATGGTGTACACACAATCATTTTGCAGTAGAACACTCCATATATGACGCCTTCCACTGAGAAAGTGGAAGTCATACCAATCCGAAGACTTGCCACCTGTCAAGTGCTTCGAGCAGGATGTGGATCTTCTAGAGTAAGGAAGGGCGGAAAAAAGAACTAAGGTCTACTTCATTTAAAAAAGGCAAGAAGAGGTGAGTTTGCTCTTATTAGAGAAGATTGAGTAAACCCACCCTCAAACTTTCACTTTTTCCAAGTTTTGCATGATATACTCAACCATTCCGCCTATCTGCAAATTTCCTAGTCACCTTTACCTCAATCTCATATTCCTTCCCTACAATTTTCTCTGAATCACTAGTGATCCTGTAAAACCTAGGAAAGATGATGAGCCAATACCACTTGTCCCTCTTTCCTATTCCAGAAGCGAGGCACGAGGTCCTTTCGAGGGCCAGTTTTGCCGTCTTGTGTTGTCTGATTGGCCAGATTTGGCCACATCACTGAAGGAAGTCATTCACACCCTCCAGCTGTTAGCAGTAATAGCTTGACCTTCAGCAAGTAGACAAGTTTCTCCACATTCCTCCTCCTGGTCATGAAGTAGTATGTGGGGGTGTGGGAGAAAAGGTTAGTGAGTGCACCGCTTGAGGCTAACCAATTGCCTGTGTCTTCTCAAATCACTTGGAAATCTGCTGTGCCTAGTAAATTCCGTGCCTTTCCATCCTCCACTTTCATTAACTACGTGAGTGGATCTTCTCTCCTGAAGGTGACGCATCCACCATTGAGGGAAACGTTACGTTCCAACCTATTCCAGGCTGTATATTATACAGGATCTACTGAGAAGCGTCTGTAACTTTGAAGGTGAGGTAGAGTTGCTTCACGAAGTCGACAATCTCAAATTAAATCCACCAGAAAGTTCAATCGACAGGAAAGCTGCACGCTGCATCCTACAGTTGAGCTGACACACCCTCGCTGTGCGTCCCGAATCACCACTTGATCAGATTATTCAGGTCTCAACAAAAAGCGGTTTACGGTTTCTTCTCTCCTTTCTGACTTCAATGAGAAAGTCATTTTCTACTTTCAGTCTCTCTTCTTTGTTGGTTGTCTGCTAGCATGACTGTTTTGTCCTTGGGTGCCCCTGAGTGAGCAGTTAGGATAAATGATTGGCCACCACTATCCGGATATTGCCTTGCTCCAGTGATGGCCGTCTGGATGACCGATTTAATGGTTACTGAAAAGCGGAGGTCAGCCTGCATCTATGACAACTTGAATTGTCGTAGGAGGGCTTGATAACATGGATTCAGGTGGGTAGATCAAGGTGTCACCTGCGTGTGGACAATGAGTTCCAAAAAAATAATTTCTTTTTCAAAAATGGTAAACCCGTTTTTCTTGATTTGTTGAGTGAGAAATTTTTTTTTTTCTTGTAACCAGGATGCATGGATCATGGTCACGTTGAGGTAAGGGAAGGTGAAGGCGGGTCATATTGCAGGTGGTGTGCAGATGCTGATGTCCGTGTTTGTTTGTGCTTGTGTCTACGCAAGACGATTTCAGAATTCACGCTAACAAGCTCCTCCCATTTCCCATCTCCCTTTTTTTTCACCTAACCACCCATTCACCCACCCCACCTCCCCATTTTTTTCTCGTGTCCTGTGTCCCACATACCCGCGGGTGAATTTATATTATTTTTTTTGGAAAATAATGCTGTGAACTGTTGAAATCACGAACGGAAGAAAAAAAGGAATCCACCAGCATGCAAAAATTCTGTTTTGTTTGTTTGTTTGAATGGAGCGCAGTATTGTGTGGATTTTTGTTGGAAAGAAACATCGCGTGCGCCAATGGAAAAGTTGAGCAAAACATTGCGTGAACCGAAATCATTTGTTTTAATTAAGTACACTATAGCTGGGGTCTTTTTAACCGCTCTGATTTTGGCTTTTTTATTTGGGGCATGAGGCTGTGGTCCCACTCCTTCTGCATGCTGATAGACAAGCTAATCCCAGACCCGTGTGACAAGATCTTGACAGCAACGTAGAAAGAGCATTGATTGGGTCAAAAGCGGATTGACTGATTGCTGTAGACGAGAGAGAACGAATGGATTCTCTTTTATCCATCAGAATTATAGCCTTTAATCCCTTACCATTTAAAATAACTGATGCACCAAGAAAATTGTGAGTTTTTCGCTGGAAGAAATTTACATCATCAAGCAAAGGCGGTGGTCACTGGGAGGTTTGGAGGCAGTACCTCCCTCAAGTGTTGCATAGGGTCTCTACAGGGTAGGGTGTGCTGTGTAAGGTTCTGTGTCGCCTTGAAGCAATGCAGCATTCTTTCATCTGATGGGCTAGTGTTGGCCACGCCTTAAGAGGAAGTTCTCCTTATCTACTTCCAGGTCTTCACAGTAAGCAAATCCTCCTGCAGTCCATCTCACTCGCAAAGGAGGCATAGTTTTCTGGGAATGGGAATGGCCATTGGCGTATCTAGTGGCTTTAATTTGTACTACAATAAGTCCTCTTCTATCATAAGACAACCAGTTAACACGTCATGTAACATCCAGTTACTTGCTACTAAACAGATAGAAGAAACCAATTGTGCAACCGACCACGACGGTTAGCATTATGTAAATATTTTCTGCCAGATCTTCTCCGAATGAATGTAAGGTGGTACCCATTTGGGCGAGAACTTTCTTAGCTCTGGTACCAAATTAAGGTTAATTCAAGATGCATACAAGCCCAAATCACATTTCTCAGCTTAGACTGGTTGGTTACAACAACTCCAGCCAACTGAAGCAAAAATCGTGCTGCCTATTCCAGCCACCAGGTAGACCCCAACCTTAGGCATAACATAATCAAACATTTCAATATTTTTCCTGCTGAGAAATAAAGCAAACTAAGAGAAATAGGAAAAATTACGTGGAGAGTGGGAGTCCATAAAAGAACCCTAATAAAACATCGCATCTTCCGGTTCTCTACCTCCCTATGTTGACCAATAGGCTTACGACTTCTTGCCATACTTTTATTGGTCATAGGCTTACCTGCACAGTGATTGGTCAGCTATGTCATTGGACTAAAGGTGTTTCTCAAGTGTGGCAACCAGTGCAATTTCCCGGTCCTGATAACCGCAGCTGCTTTTTTACCCCTAATATGCAATTTTAGTATGGTCGAAGCCTGGAGGACCATAACATTTATTCGCCTTCTCATCATCTGCCTTATCTCCACAGGTGCAGCGGAGGCCTCACCACAGAAGGATCTTGTGCAACCCCATGAAAAACACCTAGAAGGTGTTCCGGTCTTTATCCAACAACCAGAAAGTATCTACTACGCGTGGAGAGGAAAACCTGCGGTTTTTGAGTGTATTGCAGAGCCAGTCTCACACGCGGTTGCCTTCTGTGCGGACAAAACCTTTCCCTACATGGGAAACGAACATACTAGTGAACAGAGACTTCAGGTTACTCGACTTGACTCTAATGGGAACCTGGATGCGGATGGACCTCGTTGGCACCTGCGTCTTCCAATTCGAACGAAAGATTTGGAGGAGTGGTTCGACGCCTACATTTGCACCTGCGAGGTCTGGAATCTTATACCCGCCTTGAAACAAGTCAAGAAGGTATTCAGTCGCAACGCTACCATCATTGAAGCCTGTAAGTTAGCGCAACGCCAGTAGCACAGTGGCAGTTTTTTTCTCACCGTAAAAAAACAAACAAACCTACTAGCCTAGATTGTATGACAGGTTATTTGCATTTTTGCATAGTCACCCAGTATTTGCCAAAAAATGTGAGGTGTAAATTTACATCTTTGTGAGTAAGGATTTCGACAGAGCCGAGTGTATTTGCATTTTTGCCGGCATGTACCGCCTCCTTAAGAAGAATCTGACAAACAAGATTTAGAAGATAGCAGTTTCATTTGTTTGTTGATCCAAACTCTACACCTCAAATTAAAAATTGCTTAAAAGCGGGTTTTTTACTCAAAAATTACAAATAAGTGCCTCTCAAACATCTCATCTTAAGTTATATTAAAAGAGCACGCATTTTTTGTTTAAAAGCTTGTGTATAAATACCCCCTCACTTAAAAGACCATCACTTCGGTCAATTTTTGGCCTTTTGTGTTTAGTAGGCAAAATTTGTGGAGATCTCTCTCCTCCTTTTGGCCAAAAAAACTACCTGACTGCCAGCTGACCCTCACGATCAGAGCGAAACGAGATCCAATGTTTTTATGAACCACTTTTTCCTTTTTCCTAATAACTCCGATTTGCAGATTTTAACTTATTTTTCGTTTTTTTATTCACCTTTCTGCGCACATAGAAGTAAAAATGCTAAAAATTTCCCCCTAAATCTTGATTGTTGCGTTTGCTAAGTATAAGTGACAATTGCATGATGCATTCAAGAAGTGATTATCCTGTTTTGTTCCTATTCGAGAGAAATAAGTCGATTCTCTTATCTCTTTGTCGCTTATTTTGGAGGATTTCGGAGGTAAGGGGAGAGAGAGCCCATTTCTGTCTGCTTTCTTTAAGACAGCCAGCTACTTCGCCTATGCACGTATCCCAGTCACATCTTGCCAGTCCTGGAATGCGGGGGGTACTAGTTTCTCAAAATCGCAAATAATTGTGCATGATTGTGGTCATTGGTGTCGGATTGAACATTTCTCCATTATGATCAGGACTAGGTCTGGCATTTGACCAGCTCCCCTCTAAAAACGGCCGCACCTTTGTGTGAACCAAATAGTGCCTGAAGTCTTCTGTGAATACCAGCTGGTTCGCTGTCCAACGTTTCGATGATCTGTGTTAACCGACAACACACAGGCTATTCGGGAGTAGTAAATAGGATGATCAGCGTCACCCCGCCCCTCCTCCTCCGTGGATGGTGTAATATCCGATGCTTCCGCCTTGCGTTACAAGTTTTGCGTTTAAGCAGGTACGATTGATGAGTAAACTTTGCAATGCAAATTAGGGAGTCTGGTTTGTCTGGCCTCGTTTACCTCCCTGTCTACCATCCACGCACCTACCAATGATGATAATGCCACACCACGGCCAAAACTGTTCCTTGTGTGATTCAACTTGCATAAATCAGTGTTAAAAAGGATTCTTTCGGACTGCATATGTTTTCAATTAGGCAACGACGCGTGCTTGCAAGCATCCATGTAACAATATG